GCTCTCGGGGCTGCGCCGACTTCTCGTGCAGGGCGGGCCCCGGCGCATTCCCCAGACTTTCCCCAGCCTAGCCTCGCTCTACCTCCGCGCCGCGCTGGAGATCCACTGCAACGACCCCGCCCCGGCGGATGGCGACGACGCCGAACTCCCTCAGGCCCCCCCCTCCTCCCGGCTGCTGCTCAAAGCCCTTCGCCACCTCCACTCCGGGGACGGAAAAGGGATTTTGGAGGTCCTGGCGGTGGAGACGGGGGACGTCACCCTGCACCTTTACCTCGCCGCCGCCGGGGTGGCCGATCGCTGCGCGCTGGGCGATCTCAGCTACGAGTTCTACGTCGAGGCCCTGACCTTCTACGAGGCCAACGCCGCCGACACGCAGAAGCAGCTGGGGATGCTCAAGAGCCTCATGAACCACCTCCACGCGATGAAAAACACCGCGGCGGCGAACTACGACGTCCTCGCGACCAAGCTCTGCCAGCACGCCTCGCGGCTCCTGAAAAAGCAGGACCAAAGCCGCCTGGTCGCCCTCGGCGCGACCCTATTCCAGCGAAAGGCCCGCGCCGAGGACCATCAACGCCGCGTCGAGGATTGCCTCGAGCGGGCGCTCAAAATCGCGCGCCACGCGCCCGCCCCTCACCAACTCCTCCTCCACGTGGAGTTGTTGAACGGGTTGATGTACTTCTACGCCTGCAAGCAGGGGCCGATCGGCGCGCACGTCGTCAAGGCCCTCCTGGACCGCATCTACGAGCTCATCGCCCACCACGACACGGACGCCTCCCTCGACCACAACGCCAATGGAAATAGCCACGCCGAGGCGTCGCGGCGACGGCCAAACGCGGTGCCCGCGGTGGGCGAAAAAAACACCCCATCCATCACCTCGTACGTTCAGGCTCGCATGATATTGCGGAATATCATAAAGTACATTCAATCACGGCAGAGTATGGATCCCCGTTGGAATGAAATTGAGGTTTAATAACACGTATCAATGAAAGGTAAGTTTTGTCATGAAGAGCAAGTAAAATTTAAAAAAAAAACACCATCTGCCGGAATTACCTATTTTCTTGCTTATTTTTATATGTTGCTGTTTATATATCTATATCTATATATATATGATGACATTTGAATTATATATATATATGTATATACTTATATTGATTGATTTAAATAGAAAAAAATATCATCAAGTGTGTCGTATCGTCGTGTGTAGAATTGGTATCCCTCAAGGGAAGAACGCGTGCACTCCACGCTCGCATTGTGTCTGACGCGTTACGAACCGTGCGTGTGATGGAAGGGCGTCCTGGGCGATTTCCCCCCCCTCCCCTTCCGCCGTGTGGGGCCCCTTTCACCACGCCGTCTTTCCTTCCTTTGAGCGCGCCGGCGGGTATGAACTGTGTGGCGTCTACGCCACACGTCGCGGCCTCCGAAGCCATTCTTTGCTTCTTCTTTTTGTTGTTGTTGTTGTTGTTGTTTTTCCTTTGGTAGGTATTCCTTTATGGTTCGCTGGGGTTGGATTCGAACGATTTCGTCCTAGAAGCCCTGTTCCGATGCCGACCGTCGCGCAGGACCTCGAGACCCTGCGCGGGATGGTGATACACCGGCTGCTCCACCGCGAGGCCGCGGCCGCGGCGACGCCGCCGCCCTCCCCCGGCCTCGCCGCCCTCCTGCCCGGCCCCCCCGAGGGGGAAACCCCGGGCGGGGAGGGGAGAACGGCGCCCCCGAAGCCCG